CGAAGACGTGGGTTCGATTTTGACAGTGACGACAATCTTTTCGTACTTTTTCTAGAAATTTTAATGTGTAAGTGCAGAGATTAGCACTATAAAAACTTAAAATTTTTAAGAAGCAATACCGACATCTCTCGTTCGAATTATCGTTGTAAAACGATATTTGAATTTGTTTTTATGCTAGAAAGAATATAATGGATGCGCCAAGCATTGCTTCAAATGCTAAAAAACAATATAGATAAAAGACGTTAAGATTTTCGTTGGTGTGGCAATCAGCCGTTTAGCTTAGTGGTTAAAGCGTCAGGCCGCGAATGCCGAAGACGTGGGTTCGATTCCGATAGCAGCGACAATCTTTGCGTACTTTTTCTACAAATTTTAATGTTCAATCTTAAGTGCAGAGATTAGCACTATAAAAAATTTCTAGTCATCTTTTTTTTTTTCAAAGTATAACCCAGATGTCCATGGGTGGTGGTATTCACTTAACATCAGGTGAACGCCTCCTCACTTGGCAAATTTTTCACATGAAAATAATATTTGTATGTTTATGACTTAATTCAAAAAATGTCATGAATAAATCCTCAAACATTGTATACTATTTGAACCATAAGTTTTCTATAAACAAATGAAAAAAGAGCAAAACAATTTGAAACAATGTCACTAACTGACACACGTCTATCGCTTAGTTAATAAAGTAGTTTTCACGTTTTCTTTTTCAACTTTCTCCCCCGTCTCTACTGAAACAATATATTTTATTTTACAGTTTTCTACTCTATACAAATATCATTCGAGCTACTATTCAAGCTGTTTAAAAAATATGTTTGTATATAGTTCCTTTCCCATAATATCATCTTAGTTATTCATATAGGTACGCGAAAATGTAGATAAAGCTCGTATTTACAATCCGCCTATGTACCAACGGTCGAGGTTTTTAACAAAGTGTATTCAAAGATATTGTAGTTAATAACAATAATTAATCGTTAAATACAAACGTTTTTTTTTAGTATGAAACTGAAAATTCAAGTTGTCGTGATTAAAATTTTGTCATTGATAGCACATTTTTTATGGAATTTGTATTGGGAGCTATGTCATTTGAAAAAATTAAAAACTGTTCCAATTGATCCCGTAGCTAATAACGTATATATTCTGTTTAAGTAAATTAATTACGATCAAACGATACTTAAATATTGCGAGGAAGTTGTACTGTCAACCTGTCAAAAACCCCGATAAAATCGATCCTATGATTTGTGAGTATTAACATAACATGTTGCACAGAATTAATTTTGAATACTTTCAAAAACACCATACAAATTAGTCCAGTAATAGGATATAGTAGGAAAACTGCGATAACTTTTTGCGACTGCATTGCTTTATTCTTAGAACTCCCATATCTCCCGTTTGAGTAAATCGATTGAGATGAAACAAAGCCTAGATGCTGCCCCAAGCTTCGCTTAAGTAACCAGTGAAAACTGCATCAAAATCCGATAAGTATTTTCCGAGTTTATCGCGCACAGACAGACAGACAGACAGACAGACAAAAATTCCAAAAATGGTTTTTATGTTTCCTATAACTTTATTTATGATTCCTTATTTCATTTTTTCATAAATATATTCAAGGTACGATTCTACTCTTTTATTATAGTAATAGTCACATAATTTAGATATGATAGTTATTCTCCGTTGAAGTAAAACAAAACAACAGTTTGAAATCATTAGTTTATTTTTTATTACTAATAAATATACTAAGAATTTTTCTAACAAAGCACAAGTGCCATAATAGTTGCAATAGTTAATTGGAATAAAAAATGTTAAGCTTTGCAGCTTTGTCGTACAAGGAAAATGCAACTAACAAGTCTTATTCAGTGTTGTTGCTTAAAGTATATTCTTCCCGTGCAACATTTAAGTACGTGGAGCTATAAAGTATAATTGGATTTTCTGGCATTTAGCGAGGCTGTGAAACATAATTTATAATATACTATAGTCATACTATACTGGCAATTAATAAGCACACATTTAATTTAAATGTCAGTAGTTTGAATCGTATTACAGGCAACGGTGGATTAGGTGCTCTCTGTATTTTGAAGTTGATAATCAGTTTTTTAATAGGTTTTCCCTTTTACGAAGTTTTGTTGTATACAAATATATAATAATTGTCTCTCATTGATGATTGGTAGTCCTGTAGATGAAGCAACAGGCTTAACAATTGGTTTGGGATTAAATAAGCACGGAGAAAGCTGTATTTGTCTGTGCTCCTGACGTAAAAGTTATTTAATGGTGTATATAACCAATGACTTAAGTAATTTAAAACAACTTAATAATTTGCAAGTACTTACCACGTAACAAAGAGATTATAGATTTGATAAACAATCTGACTATAAAACGGCAGTTATTATTTTTTATCTAAAATGAAATTACTTCTCATCTCTCTTCTCAGGAATGTCATTAAAAGAATAAGTGTCCACAGACCTATAAGAAATGAGTGAGGGACCAAATGGCACATAAAAGTTATGGATATTTTGATGTTAAGTGACACGCTTAAAGTTTACGATCAATGTTGTGGACACTGTTAATAATATTACTAAGATAGGAGAAATTTAATTATTACAGGTAATTTTATGAACAGAAATAGTTAAAAATAGCATTTGTTAATATTCATACTCTATGCTATATAACTTGCTAATTTTTCCAACTAACTCCGGTACAAGACGTAATTCATCATTCTCTAAACTATATGGTATATGAAATGACGCACGTACTATTTGATGTTAAAATCTTTATTAAACCATTTTAATTCCACTTTAATAATAAAAATAAAAATACTTAATCAAATTATCAAAAAAATAATATTACTATTAAGACAGCTTTTTGACAATTTGATTATAAAACATTACTGTTTTGCTTACAAATCATGTCATTCAATATAAAAACCTTATTCAAATTATTTCTGAGAGATTATTTCTTGGTATGTATAATAATAACTCGCTGATATAACGTCTGCGGTATTTGTAAAATTTATAAAACATTAGCAGACTAAAACATAGCTCGAAAAAATAAAGTGAAAAGTTGAAAAACAAGATTATCTCTTTCAGTTTTTAAGGGCCTTTCGTCTGTGTAATACAAACTCTTAGCTTAATTTAATACTTTTATTCATTAAATTAAGCTTAATTTTCACTATTTGAACTGCGAAAACTTCGAAATATATCTTTGTTTATAGCATCCGAAGCCCATTTTTTAAAATATTTTCCACTTTTAAACTCTTAAAGGGAAATTCAGGTCGCGTCATTTAAAAAAGATACATGAGTAATTAAATACAAATTCTGAAATATAATGAATTCAGAACGGTTCTAATCGACAAACATCAATGCCTAATGTTTCGTATACCGCCATCAATTCACATTGTCTTATCATATATATGGCATGGTAAAGCAAGCAATTACGTATTTAAAGTTTTTATAGTGCTAATCTCTGCACTTAAGATTAAACATTATAATTTGTAGAAAAAGAACGAAAAGATCCGCTGTGGGAATCGAACCCTCGTCTTCGGCATTCGCGGCCCGAGGCTTTAGCCACTAAGCTAAACGGCTGGTTGCCACGTCGACGAAAATCTTAACGTCTTCTATCTACATTGTTTTTTTAGCATTTGAAGCAATGCTTGGCGCATCTGTTGTTATATCCTTTCCAACATACAAACAATTTCGAATATCGTTTTACAACGATAACTTCCAACGAGAGATATCGCCATTGCTTTTTAAAAATTTAAAGTTTTTATAGTGCTAATCTCTGCACCTAAGATTAAAGCGACAATCTTTTCATTCTTTTTCTACAAGTTTTAATTTTTAACAATTACGTATTTATAAGTTCATTTACTATCCTTTGTGAGAATTATCACGCGATTTAGATTATAAATTACTTTCAATAATGTTATCGATTTCTTAACAAATCCCTTTGGAAATGGACTTTACATTGAAATCACGGGTTTACTTTTTTTTAATCCTTTTTGCTTTCCTAAATCTGATCTAGGAAAATGTCTTCTTCTACACTGTAGATACCACTTGTCATTTCCATGAGATGGATTTGTGATGTAAATATTTTTATAAAAAATTTTATGTGAAATTTTGGCAAGCTAGCAGGCAGTTCACCTGATGGTATAGATTACTTAACGATGCTCTAGGGCATCTTTTAAATACCTCATCGTCTCCAGCTTTTAAATACCTCACTGACAAAACATCCACGTATAGTTCTAATTTTCACTTCACGTTGATCCTCTGTGAGGCCGCGGTACTTCCTTCGATAAGCCTGCCTAATTGTGCAATATAAGCTGCTGCATAACCCTACCCCAGAAAAGTATTTTTTATGTTTTAAATTACGCTAGTGTTTAATTGTTTTTACAAAAATAGCTCTAGCCACTGAGCTGTACGACTAAAATCTCAATGAAGTTTGTTTATCTGTATTGTTTTTTATTACATTTATTAAGGGTGTCATGTATTGTATTTCATTTTAATGCAAAATGACCACCATTTCAAATAACATTGTACAATGAAATATTTGAAAACTAGACATGAAAACATTTCTATAAAAAAAATTTACATAAGGCTTTGGTATTTCTACAAATTTCAAATTTTTACAAAAACCAATTGTCATTAACCGATTGCTCTACTTACTGCAACCAATTACATATAAGATTCATATTTATTTTTGTTGTTCAGTCAGTAGTAGAAATCTCTGATAACTACTATAACAACTTTTATATTCCAATAGATAAAACAATTTATTTGATTGAGTGCAAAAGTCAGTTTAGTTAATAAGTACCTACATAATATGATAGAATGAATAAAACAAGCGATTAAGGAAATTTTGGTTTATTAACTAGACAGACAATCGTAATTAACATTAATCACGTACAAAAAATAAAGGGGTGTAAATATATCTCTGAAAATGTAACAAGGTAACACAATGTGTATCGAGCTACGTACATGAAGTCTTTAGACTAGAGGATGGGACACAGGCTAGGGGGGTGGGCGGCGGCGACGCGTACGGCGGCCGCATAGCAGCCGCTGGAACGCGTGCCTGAACTCAGGGCTAAAGACTGTATATATCACTGGGTTCAAAGTCGAATTAAAATAGCCCAGCCACAAAGACAAAGATGTCAACACCGGACTAACCTCACAATCACACGTGGGAACCAAAATAGCTAGTACGAAAAACGGGAGCCAACAGGCTACAAATGCTCCGGTGATTATTGCCAATGTCTTCGCTGCTTTCCGTTCGCGTTTCGAATCAACGGCCTCCTTTGGTTTTCGGCGCACCAAACTTGGGTAATAGGCGGCGGCAACAGCTCCGTAACCGGTCGTGGGTGGGTCCGCCTCTAAACCGTTTGCGCAAGATTGCTTCTCCGGACTTGTATTGTTAGAAGAGACATTTGTAAAACCAGTGGTTGTCGTCTCCGATATTGTTGGTAGCGGTCGCCCGATTACAGCAACTACCGCTGCCGCGATGCCACCACTACCACCAGCTGCCACCAAAGCCCCACCGGCCGGAACCGGCGGAGGTCCGACCCCACCACGTGCCGTAGCACCACGACGTCGGCGTATTCTTTTCCTTGCAGTCTGATATATCCTCCAATACAGAATTAAAACAACAAGTACCGGTACATAGAATGACGATGCCGTTGCGAATATCTGATAACCTACGTCTTGACTCACTACACACCGCAAGTCTTCGGATACGCGTCGATTCCAGTCAGGATCTTTCCATCCCAATAACGGTGCAATGCATACGAGAAAGCTCGCAATCCAGACACATGCTATCATCAAGCCCACGCGTCGGACCGTTCGGGCATGGATGTAGTCAATATTAGTAACGGCCCAATATCTGAAAAAGAAGAATATATTTAACTAGCTGTTGCCCACAACTACGTCCGCGTGGAATAGGCGGAAGGGACAGAAATCTATACATATAATATAAATATAACATTTGAGGAAAACTGTTATTAAAGATCCCCCTTTATCGACGCAATAGAATCCAAAACAATGGTTTTTAAAATTGTTGTCTGTGCGTATGTGCGTTTGTGTGCATTAATATCAGAAACGGCTTAACCGATTTAGGTGTCTCTTCACTTAACATTTAGTGTTAGTTTTATTTAAATCGCTTTATAAATAAAAAGTTATATCAACTTTAAAAAAAGTAATCGCTACAGCTGAATTGGATGAAACTATAGTTAACTATAATTATATTATGGTCTGTAAAATGATGATGATTGTTAGATAATATAAATTTAAAAACCAGCCAAGAGCGAGTGGCAATCGTGCATGAAGGGTTCCATACCATAATCTATAAAAAAGGCAATAAAATTATGTATGTTGTGTTACAGCCCCACTTGAAAAAAATATTCTGATTTCCTTTATTTGTTGTTATAGCGTCAACAGAAATACAGTATCTGTGAAAATTTCAACTGTCTAAATAACACAGTTTATGAGGTACATGTATCAAATAGATGCTAGCAGTCTAGCTAGCATCTGTCTTTTGTTTGAACTCGTTAATCTCAGCGACTACTGGTCTGATTTGAAAAATGTTTGCACTGTTAGATAGCCAATTTATTGAGGAAGACTACTTTTTAAGCACGATATAAAATGTGGTACATACGGGCTGAACCGCGGGCGAAAAGCTAGTGTTCAATAAAATACCACTTTAAATACTACCTACATTCATAGTTTTTGAAGAATTTAGAATAAATAATTAAAAAATGTTTAATTTTTTATTGTGAAACTTTTATATGATTCACGTTATCGTGGTTAAAATGTTATCACTGATAATTCACATTTTGTGTGGAAGTAAATTTTTTGTATTGGGAGCTACTATGTCATTTGAAAAAAATAAAAACTGTTGCAATTGATCCAGTAGCTAATAACGTATATAAACAAAGTAGCTAATAACGTAAATGTAAACAGAATTTAAGTAAACTGATTACGATCAAACGATACTTAAATATTCTAAGGAAGTTGTACTGACACGCTGTCAAAAACACCGTAAAAACGATCCTATGTTTTGTCAGTATTCACATAACATTTTTTTAGAGCGAATCAATTGCAACTCAATCAATAAAACAAAGCTTTAATGTTGCACAGAATTGTTGAATACTTTCAGAAACACCATACAAATTATTCAAGTAGTTAGATAACTGTGATGACTAACTGTTTGCGACTGCACTGCTTTAATCTTAGAACTCCCATATCTCTCGTTTGAGTGAACTGATTGAGATGAAACAAAGTCTAGATGTTGCCCCATGCTTCGCTTAAGTAACCAGTGAAAACTGCATCAAAATCCGATAAGTAGTTTCCGAGTTTATCGCGCACAGACAGACAGATAGATAGAAAAAAAATTTCATGTTTTCTATGACTCTATTAATGATACCTTATTTCATTTTTTCATAAATATATTCAATGTACAGACACACCGATTCTACTCTTATATTATAGTATAGATTCTAAATATCGTTTCTATAGAGCTTTTATTCGTTACGTTTATTACCTATCTAGAGCAATCGCTACGAGATGAAGGATAGAAGCAGTGCAGCAGAGCACATCTCCTGATGTCCACATATCGCAGAGCTCTGGGCCTAGGGTCCAACGTTGTGCCACTTCGTACACTGCACCCAAAGGCATTACGAGACATGCCACCAACAGGTCCGCTACCGCTAGCGATAAAATTAATTGGTTTGCTGCGCTTCGCAGATGTCTCTCCAGAAGGATAGCTGCTATGACGAATACGTTACCTAAACAGGAAAAAATATTGTTACACTAATGCAATACACAAACAATAGATGTGAAAGTTAGTGACAGTCAAAGATAGAGACTCCTATATAAACCGGTTCAATGGAAACTGTTAACAAATGGAGGTTTTCTTACCGATTACCGTTGCTAAAATTAATAATCCAAGGAAGACGGCCTTGATTGCCGCACGGAGTAAGGCGGCGGGTGAATCGAAGGGCGCGGAGGCGTCCCACCAGGTGGCGTTAGGCGCTGTCACGTTCCAGCTGTCAGGCACCCAATCAGTGGCATTCCAAGTCACATTCTGCGCTGGGAGCCGCAAATACAACGCCTCCCATTCGAACAGATCGCCTTCCGCGCCCTCCATGTCCCCTCACCGAAGCACCGCACCCCCTGCTAAAATTCAATTAATTATAGATCAGAAGTTTAATGTTTTCTTGTATTTATTCGAATATGATATGATTAATTAATTGCCGACAAGTAGAAAATTTTTAGAATTTATAGATGATCCCAAATAAAGATTTTTATTTATTATTTTAAATATTGCTTCATATAAATATTTGTTTTTATGAAGTTACATATGGCGTCATATGGCATAATATGGCGTCGAAAATAATGAAACAATTAAACAAATTCTTACGCTCATTGAATTATCACCAATAATGTCATCGAATTGTTTCAAACATAACCGGTGGTGACCCTTATTGCCATAAGTATAAAGGTGTGAAAGATTTTTTGGTCGTAAACAATAAGCATATCAGTGAACTCTACAAGTCCAAATCCCAACCAATGTTAGACAAAAGCGACATAAATAAAGCGTGTATTTTATTATAATCAATAGTCTGCAAACTGCAAACTCTTATAACAATGACTTTTTGAAACAATTCTTACAATTTTAAACACAAGATTGTTCATTAATTTTGATTTTATTTGAACTTCATTACAACGTACATCTTTCATTTACAGAATTCATATAGTATTCGTTACACATCTTATGCTATTATAAACTTATATAAAAACTTACCATTCATGATGTGTTTCTGAATGTCAATCGTCAATACTGGTCCCGCCATCGCCAAATAAATCCACTACTCACCAAAATTTTTAATTTTCACCTGTAAAGTAAACATGTTTTTAAAATTAGTCCAAATTATTTTTGTTCCTAACTGGACTAGTAACATATCAATTTATTATAAACTACGGTAAGTAAATGGCGCTGCGCTATAAATTTATTACAGAAACTAGCATAAACAAACGTTCTTTTCCAGATTATCTGTTAAATATTCACATATCTATATGTGAATATTTTACAGATATTTAATTTATCTGTCAGTTTGTCAAGTTAATCACATATTAATAATATTTTGTTACATTGAATAAACTTTTGTATTATAAATTATCCATTGTCGAGCTTTATAGCAGTTGTGGATTCGATTTCAGCACAAGATTAGTATGTGTGTGACCTACATACATATATGTCGTGTTACGAGACTAATTCTATTTTTGCTTTTGAAACGTCGGTGAGCATAATATAACGCAACAATTGGTTACACATATTTTATTATCATTAATTTTATAGAAATAATTCAATAATAAAACATGATGTCTAAAAGAAGTCCTACGTAAATAAAAAATATCACGATATAAATCAGTAACACGCATATTAGCTTAGCTTATATTCGATCTCGTTTTAAATCTATCAAATACATATATACCTTTAAACGAGTAATTCTTGTATATAACATGTATCCATATGTATATAATCTGAATCTCAGAAACGACTCTAACGATTTTCATGACATTTAGTATGCCATCTAGTAGTTTCCAGGGCGACAAATCGTTCTAGCTAGGTTTAATTTTTAGAAAACGTCGTTTTATCCGTGCTTGCAATTAAAAACTGCAAAACAAGGTTGTAATAGCTCAGGTAGGAAAAATGGTCCCGAAAATAGAAGACCTCGATTCGAGTCCACGTGGTTTTTTCTTTTTTTCCTTTTTTTTTCAAGTTACTTCTTTTGTGAGAAAAAACCGTCATCCAAGTATTTATTGTTATATAATTTGTAGATATAAGAAGACAATCGATCTTAATAATAGATAACACCTTTCTGTTCTTCTCTTTTTTGACAACGGCTAACATTGAAAGGCCGGCTAACGGTGCCCGAATGGGCAGGCTCGTCCGGGTAAGTACCACGACCTCACAGAAGACCGGCGTAAAGTGGCAGTATAATACTTTCGCGTTTCGTCTGGTGAGTGAGGTGGCCGGAGCCCAATTTTCAAAAGGTTGTCAACGCGTCTGGAACCCTTGGATGTAGCAGATGTACATGGGCGGCGGTATTCACTGAACATCAGGTAAATCGTCTGCTCGCTTGGCAACTTTTCACATAAAAAAAATTGAAAATAAAACTCGTGCTTTTTTTGTAAAATAAAAATTATCGCTTCGCAATAGTTATTAACTTAAACTAGTTGTTAACTTAAAATTGCAAATTTGCATCATTCAAACAAAGGACCGTATAGGCAATATATCCTACGAACCAACTGTTTTTTTAGCATTTCATTGTCGTTCTTTCCTCTCGGCAATTTATTACGTTTTAAAACAAGCTCGACACTTTTCTAAAAATGAAAAAGTATATTGAAGATGCGAAAGTTATGAATAGCTCGGCGTTGAGCTCCGAGGAAAACAATGCTTAAATAATGAACTTTTCTACGTTAAATTGCATATCGTAGTTGTTATTATTCCTATCCCGTATTTCTTGCATAAAATTTTATAAATGTGATTAGCGTAGAGTGCGAGTGCTGATAAGATAACTATTATTGTTATTTGCTTTGAACTATGGAAGATTCATAAAATAATTAAAACTTTTACTTCATAACTTTCCTATTACAGCAAGACAGATCGCGACCTACATAGTTATATATATACCTACGAAAACGATGGAAATATTTTTAAATAAAGTTTTTAAATTAAAATTAAAATTAAAATTTAAGTTTTTGTTTATTTTGGTTCAATTGAATCGTGTATAATAACAACAACTTCTTTAACGACTTCTACGTGTTTTTAGATGTTTCCTTGATTTAATATAATTTTATTCTCATTTCAATCATATGCCAATCATATGTTACACTTTTTATTTGGTTAAGTAATCCTTCTCTCATAGTATCATGACAATAATTTTCCTTTTCTTTATTTGCATATCATTATAAACATTTCTTAATGTGTATAATACGACCCAATCAACGGACTTAAAACTGATCAATTAATGTCTTTATAATTAATAATATTAAGAATATCAAGAATAAACATTTAAACTTTTCATATATTTTCTGTGACGCGAACCCGTTATTTTTCCACGGCCGTGACTCCCTCATTGAACTAGAAACTTGCTCAATGCGCTGCCTGACCGTAAACGGAAACCTTAAAGTTCTACCATTTCATGCCTATTTAATATACGTAGCTCCCCCATATTGATGGTTACCTGTATTCTTGTAAAGGAAAGTTATTTATACAGTTTTATAATGCTAGTACCGACTATTTATACATTTAATTCATTAAAATGAATTAAAGTATTTGCATTATATATTGCAGTTTACATATATATTGCAGTTTTTTTAACTAAGTAATTTAGTTACATTTATTGAAAGAACTATAATAATGAACTAGTTGAAAGTTAGTTCGTTAAAATAAAATGTATTTCGTCAGATACATAACGAATCAACATTATTCAGAAGTTTTACACAATGATTATGCTACAAAATTACTGCTTTCTATTAGAATAACTTGATTATGTTATATTTTTAGATGCTTTAATGATAAGGTAAAACTTGTAAAGACAGTTTTCATAAAGCCAGATATGCTATAACAGTAATAAGTGATAGTGGCGTAATATGCTTGTCCGTCAAAAATATATATGGACCTATATTAATTTAGGCAGCGTGCTTACATATTTCTTGTATATTATCTCTCGCATTATGTTTACAACACATAAGCCGTTAACGCGTTATCCGCGCTTACGAGATTCCCGCGGATACGCAGTCCATATATTCTCAATTCTTCAAGAAATAAGTCTATCAAAATACGTCAACGATTGATGGGAGGGGTCGTCTATTCAATCCTCATACGGTGTTTGTATATAAGGCAATCACTTGCGCTTGAACATCAATTTCGAAGAAAAGTGGAGTAGAAGTAGCACACGTTTGCTTTCATGTTTCGTTATAAAGTACAAGTGGAATTCTAATAAGCTCAGAGTTTCACGACTTAGATTGACGGCGGCAACATCTGGTAGGCTCATATCTCAGACTCCGTCCACATTCGTCGAGCATATATCCATATGAAGATTTTGGTAGCTGTTGTAGAGTAAAATTTAATGCGCTCGAAAATTCAAATAAAAGCTTTCAGACACAGACAGATGTCGATATTGATCTTAATGCTAATGATTATTGTATGTAACTATAACTATATCAAAAAATTGCTGACTTACTAGAATATCTTTTCGCCGTGTACTTGTCGAGTATAACCATTAACCTAACCAATAGGAGGGCCACCATTGGTGTCTAAACAGACAGACGCCTCCGTGGGAGTACCACGGCCTCATAGAAGACCAGCGTTACGTAGAAGTATTGCATGCTTTTTCATTTCGTTAGATGAGATGAAATGTCAACGCATCTGCAACCTTTCAGGTGTGGAAATGTCCGAGGGCGACGGTCATCAATTAAAATCGTAATTGGACTTACCTAACTGGACTAACTGTAATAGGTAATTTCGATCATAGTGCTGCAAACAACAACCGGTAATATATTCGTCTAATGCATGTTTATATGCCATGATGACTATGTCCTTGGCAACATTTCACACACAAAAAAAGAATTTTAACTTAAATGTTTACAGTTGACAGTAAGCATCTAAATTAATGAAAAAAAAATTAATATGGTTTATTAAGTACATTATCTAAAGAAAACCAATTTAGCTACAGTTCAGAAAATAAAAATCATTAAATGTTGTTCATCAACATGAAAGCTTACCCAGAACTTAGGATTAAGGCAACGTGCTGCCACCCTACGACATTGAGTTAGATTAAAACTGTCAATATTGCTCGTTGGATATAAGAAATACCGTTATTCAAAGAGATACATTTACGTAGAAATTCCGTTTCCCATTTAAATATCGGTTACTAAATTTAATTTTTCAGTCAGTTTCAAATTTAATTTTTATCATAAAATATGAACTTATAAATTATAAAAATATTTGACTAATGCGATGAAATGCAGGTGAAATATAACGGGAGAGGAGGCAATGAAGTCGCTGCGAAAGAGAAGTAGATCGTTTTGCAATTCTTCTTGTACCCTGCGACCAGATGATGCTGTCGGGGCTGTCGG